GCTCTTTCTGCCTCTCTGGGTCCCTCCCGATGGCTGCATCCCCCCCCTTCCCCCCTCAGGAGACACCAAGCCCTGAGCAGGCAAAGCCAGCAGATGCCAATGGTGAGAAAGAGGAGGAGGAGGCCTTCCTCGTCAGCCTCTACAAGTTCATGAAGGAGAGGCACACACCCATCGAGAGGATCCCACACCTCGGCTTCAAGCAGAGTGCGTACCTGGGAGCAGCTTTTGGGATGGGGGGACGTCTTGGGGACGGAGGAGCTTTTGGGATGCAGTGCAGGCGCGTCACGTCTGGCTGACTCCTTCTCTCCCCTTCTTCCCAGTTAACCTGTGGAAGATTTACAAAGCAGTGGAGAAGCTGGGAGCTTACGAGCTGGTAAGCAGGCAGCGTGCCGCATCCGTACAGCTCTGTGCTCCTGATCTGGGGGAGGATTAACCCATCTTTGTCCCATCACAGGTAACAGGGAGACGGCTGTGGAAGAATGTGTACGATGAGCTGGGCGGCAGCCCGGGCAGCACCAGCGCAGCCACGTGCACCCGGAGGCACTACGAGAGGTAGGGGGGGTTGTGTGCCTGCTCCCCCACCCCCAAGGGGTTCAGTGGGGTTGGGGCTCAGCGCTGTGACTCCCACCCTGCAGGCTGGTCCTCCCATATGTGCGGCACCTGAAGGGTGAGGACGACAAGCCGCTGCCTCCCAGCAAACCCCGCAAGCAGTACAAGGTCTCCAAGGGCACCGAGATGGGTGAGAAGAGCAGGAGGAGCAAGAAGGAGAAGGGGCGGGAGCAGGTGAGCGGCCATGGGGTGAAGCTTGGGAATGATCCCAGTTCCTGTGCTCAGCCTTCATGCATCCATCCCCATCCCAGGCACGTGGCTGTGCAGTTCTGGCGAGGGTGAGGGGCAAGAGCAGAGAACTGAGCTTCTGGAGATGGAGGCAGGGAGATGGGGTGGATGCATGGCTCAGCCTGGCACCCACACCCCAAACTGGCTTTTGGTTGCAGGTGGCACCGGAGAAGGCAAAGCCTGAAGTGGCAGCCACCCCTACAGCCAGCAAGGAGGACCCAACAGAGGCCCAGGAGCAAGGCCAGCCAGCAGAGGGACGCACCAGCCCCACGGCCCCGGCCCCAAGCCCTTCTGCAGGGTGTCCCAGCACCTGCCGAGCCCACGCTGAAGCCTACAAACGCCTCTTCTCTAGCTTTTACTCCAAAGGCAACCACCCCATCATGTCTCCGCTGGCCAAGAAGAAGCTGCTGGCTCAGGTGAGCAAGGCAGAGTCCTTGCACTGCCTCAAACGCCACTGCCTGGAGGGCAGGGAGGTGGCGAGCAGCGCTCACCCCAACCCAGAGCCCAGCCAGCCAGCTGTCAGCCCCCACCTCAAAGAGCAGAGGAGCCCGGAGACACCAGGATTGAAGGACACACCCCAGGGAGGCCGGAGCGAGGCAGGACCCATCCCCAGCACATCCCCTGGCAGGACGGACAGACAGCCTTACCCAAGAGCTGAGGACGGGGGCCCTGCGCCCACTGTCTTCACCGGCTTCTTCCACGCCTATCGCAACGAGGTGCTGAAACCCATCAGCTGCCACCCCTTTGGGGGATATTTCTCCAACTTGAAGGATTTCTTGGAACCACAACCTGAGGACGCGGAGGCCGGCCAAGAGCAGCCCCAAGACCTGCGGAGCAAAGCGTGGAGCAGGGAGAGCCCGCAGCCGGCCGCCTTCGCTGCCGTCAAAGCCTGCTGGGTGCCCCCGGGGGCCGGCTTCGCCCCGCTGACACGGAGCCCCACAGCACCCACAGCCAAACGGAGCCGGGACGAGGAGGCTTTGGGCCCCAGCAGGAAGCTGCAGGTCGTTTCCCCCTTTCTCCACGAAACTGAAGGCAGGGACAAGGGCGCTGGCTCGCCCAGGAGCCACCAAGGATTGGCCAAACCCAAAGCCATCATTCCCGGACCCAGCTACGCCGCTCCGCTCACCTCAGTGCCTCGAGCCCCAGATGTTTACAAGGGAGCCATGCTGCGCTTCCCAGTGAACTTCAGCAACTCCCTGGAGCACCTGAAAAACCAGGCAGCCCCAGCGGTGCCGTCTCTCTCCATCAACCCCTTCATCATCCCTGCTTTCCCCAGCCCTGTGATAGCCACCTCCGTGCAGCCCTCCGACCCCAGGCACTACCCGACGTCCTACGAGGGCTCACTGCAGCACCGGCTCTACCCCACAGCGACTTGGCACAGCCAGCACACCTACAGCACCCCACACACCTCTGCTTTCCACCGTAACACCAAGCTGTAGGGCTGCTGTCCTGCTCTGGATCGGCCCCAGCCCCACAGAGAGGCGAGGCAGCACCCGGATGCCATCAGAGCTGCTGAGTCTCGTGGCAAAGATGAGCTGGACAGTGTCATTTTTACTCTTGGTCTTAGGGATGTTTGTATCTGACATCATACTCTGGGATATTAACTACCAATATCACAAGGTTATATATATATTATATATAAAAAAAAGGGAGCAAATGAGTTGCAGAGGTTTTCTTGCTAGAGATGCTGTGTCCCATGCAGCTTTGTGCAGCCAACACAGTGGATGTTTCCACCTCGCCATGCTGTGTCCAGGCTGCCCTGCAGCTCCCTGGCACACAGCCTCTGCTCCCTCCTACAAAACAATGCAATTTTAGTTCTGAAGTATGTTGCCTTATAGCAGGAGCTCCTAAGGTTATAAGGGGCTCAGGGGGCAGCAAGCATCCACGGGAAGCATGCTGGCTCCTCCAAAATGGGTGCTGGAGGGCAGCATCCGAAATAAACCTCACTGGATGGTCCCAGCTGGTGGTGTTTGGGGTGTGCTTGATTCCTGGGATTAGGGCTAGGTTGTGGGGGAAAGCCAGCCTCACCCTAGCAGGATGCTTCCTGACCTGGGAGCAAGGCTGAAACCTACCTCTGTTTTTCTTCTGCATTGTTTCTGGCACCTTTTTCCCAGCCTCAGGGGTTCACGGCTGTTTCCTGGAGCATCCACGTGTCCAAGTGTGGGTGCCACAGGCCAAGAGCACGGCGCAGACACAGCATGGAGGACTCCTGGCTCTGGAATCCACCACAGACAGACAGACAGCACCTGGGATGCGATCTGTGGAGAGAAGAGCAGCACTCTTGGTGGCAGCCAGATGACCCAGGACAACTCCTGAGGTATCTGCAAACCAGCACAGGCCTGCAGAGCACGGCTCCAGCTGCTTTTTGCCTCTGCAAGCTCCCACTGAGCCACTGCAAATGACCCAAAGCCCTTGTTGCAGCCTCAGGACTTGTTTCTCTTGTGCCAGCTGCTCTGCACAACTGTGGGTGTCCTGGGCACCCTGCTATGAGCTGTTCAATGGAAGGGGCAGAGAGATGCTCGTCCCTAAAGGGGCACTTGCTCATCCCCTAAAAGCATGAAGAAACAGCAGCAGCAGATCAGCTTTGAAGGACCACTTCTGCTGTTTCCATGGAACGAAAAGGAATTGGGATAGAAAGAAGAAACAGAGAATTATCCCCACTCTAAGGTGCTTTGGGGGTTAGACTTGGTGAGAAGAGTTCTCACTGCTGCTGAAATAGGTCAGACCAGCTATAAAGCATCACAGACCCACCCAGTTGTGCACCTTCCAGTGTGGACATCAGAAAGGGATTCAGTGTGCTGCAGTGTCCTGGCACGCTGTGCCCCAGGAGCCCTGCCACCAAAATGCATTCAAGTGACACCAGTTTGTGAGCGAGGACGTGGTCACAGGGCTCAAGTTGTCCCTCAGAGACTGTAAGGATGTGAGAGCAAAATGGGAGATGCCACAGCATAAAGCTATCTCAGCCTTACAGAGAAATTGTGACTGCACTCCTAGGAGATAAAACTGGGCTGCTTAAGAACACTGAGCATCAACAGTTGAGTCTCACCTTTATGAGTCAGGCACACACTGGTGTCCACAGCTCCCTCAGATGCTAGAGTAAAGCTTAAGCTCACCCAGGCTGTGTCTTTCCCTGATCTGCTCCCTTCCACAGTGCAAGCTGGCAAAGCTGGGCACACAGCCACCTCTTATCTCTGAGCTGGTTGCAGCATCCACTCAGGTGCAGGGCAGGAAGGAAGCTGAGACCTGGTCAGTTCCCCCTTCAGAAAGGCCCACACCCTCCTTGGGAAGCACAATGCCACCTGGGGAAAAAAGAAAGCAGGAACAGGTCATGCAGGTGGTTGTCACCCAGCCAGATCCTTCAGTCCGTTATCTGCTCCTCTTTTTAGTCTGAATGTGGCCCAGAAGATGCAGAAATATCAGTTCTGCTGTATAGATTGGTAGGAGGACAGCTGGTCTCACCCCTCCGAGCTGATTCAGTTCTGCATCCTGGCAAAGCAGCAGAGCCACAGGGCTGCCATGAGCTGCTGGACTGCCCTGCTGTCATTTGGGGTTGTGAAGCTGAAACTGGGTGGCTGGCAAAGTCAAATCTTTGCTAACTTTCCCACAGAACCCCAGGAAAAAAAAGAGAGGCTCTGGGCTCAGCAGGGCTTGGGATACTGCTCCAGGGAAAGGGCAGAGCTCATGAGCATTGCTCAGCACCCTCAGGAGACCACTACTCACCATCAGGATGGTATGAAGCCCAATGCATGAGGCAGCAGTGAGACTGGGAGGTCACAGCGAGTTCCCCAAAAGCTGGGCAGCATCTGGAGCTGCTACATCCAGGAAGGGTGGGAAGGGATGGATGGCATCTCTCGATGAACAAACAGCCAAAGGGGGAAATGGTTATTCCCCTGCTCTGTTTTCCAGGCTCTCCATAACAATCGCATTTCCTCTGCTGTGGTGGTTGGAAGAGCTGACAATAGGATCTTCTCACGAGCCAGCAGGATGAGGAAGTGAGCAGAGATATTAGAAATGTGCCTGCTGTCAGAGTGGGGAGCGTGGGCCACCCCAGCACCACAGATCTCCATCCACAGAGATCCACGCTCCCTGAATGAGTCTTGGACAACAACCACAACTTTGTGCCCCTCATCCCTCCAGGGAAGAAGGGCGTTGAGGGCTCAGGGTACAGCAGAGCCACAACACGGGACAGCAACATGCAGGGCATGGAGATTAACCCCAGCAATCACAGAAACAAAAGCAGCAAGTCACAACTCTCAGCTCTGTCCTGTGAAAGCAACCCCAGCAACAGCCCTGGTCCTGAGCCTGGTCCAAGGAAACCACCCTTAATACTGCCAGAATCAGCTTCATCTCATCACCCTGGGACTCCATTTCAGGGCTCTGTGGAAGCTAACTGCTTCCCCTGTTTCAGGCTGGTGCTACCCCATGCTTGTTGGTGATGCTTTGCGCTCCATCATACACAACTGTAAAGGTTGTATCTGCTCTGTGCCCTCACATTTTTTTTTCAACAAGTTCAAATATTCTCAGAAGCAGAAAACCAGAGGGACATTCCAGTGGAACAACGCTAGCAGGAGGAGCTTCCCTCACTGCTGCTCCCAGGACCCACAGCACTCATTTTTCCCTGCCTGCACAATGCTTCTTTGTCTGTCCATGCATTCAAGGCGAGAGAAATCAGACTGAAAAGCTGGGCTCATCCAAACACTCAGAGCATCTACCAAACCCACGGTGCGGCTGCCGAAGGAGCAGCTTTTGGGAGAGCCGGGCACAATGAAGTCACAGAAGAAAATAGATATTAAAAAAAAAAAAAAAAAATGATTTATTAAACAACAACAAAAGCAGAAAACACTTCCTCAGTTTGCTAGAGCCCAAATCGGCCCCATCAGCACAGGGCTGCCCTCCCCCCTCCCACCCCCACAGCCACGCTGAGGGTCCCCCCAGGTCCCTATGGCTTCTGGCTGAGCACAGGCCCTGCTGTGGTGATGACAGAGGAGCTGCTCAGCGTCAGGAGAGCAGCACCAGCTCCTCCTGGCAACACGCTTTGGGGCAGCAAGTGTCTGTTTGCCAGGGTCTCTCTGGCACGGAGGAGGGTGCTTCCATCATCCACCACAGAGGGGACCCTCCCCAAGGTCTCCATCGCCCCCAGAGTGTGGCTGAGGGCTGAGGTGCTCCTGGTCAGACTGACCTTGTCCCCAATGTGTCCGAGGGACCCGTCAGCCTTCACAGTGGCCAGCGTTGAGGTGAGGATGACTGTTTTGGAAGCAGTCTGCAGGATGGGTCCCACTTTGGAGTGCACCAGGCTGCTGGGAGGACTGGGAGCGCCGGCCAGAGGGGAGGCGGCGAAGGTGACGGGGCCAGCAGGAGAGCTGGTGGAAGAGGAAGGTTGGATGCCTGGCAGTTTGAGGGGGCCTGAGGTAGCCTCATCCATCACAGACTTGGTCAGCGCAGACAGCTTGGCGTCTGACATGACGTACAGGGTCTTCATGGGGCTGGCCGTGGTCACTGCAGAGAAGGGAAGAGCGTGGTCAGCAGCTGTGGGGCAGGGTGCCCACCCTGGGCTGCAGCCCCAGCAGCAGAGTTGCAGGGTTTCAGGCTGTACTTTTGGAAACCCCTCTGTCTCATTTTTGTCTTCAGAATGACTCCAAAACGAACCCCAGCACTGTCACAGAGCATGGTGAGGGAGCCCCAAACCTGTGAGCTCCCTTTGCAGACCAATCCAAGAATCCTCTCCCCCTTCAGTGTCTCACGCTCTCCTCAGGATGATCCCTTCCCACAGGGCCAGGACCCTGGGGCTCTTCCTTGGCCAAGTACTCTCCATCCCACCCTCCAGACTCTCACACAGCTCAGGCATCTCCAGCTCTGTCCCACCAGCAGTGAAGGCAGATGCTTCTGCAGGTGCTCAGATGCTCGTCACGCTCCACTCCAACGGCAGCAAAAAGCCATCAGGGTTTGTGGAACAAAGCCCTTCGTGCCCTAAGGTAACAGCAGAGTTTGCACATGGTGGCTCCATCATCTAAGCCTGCTCCTCAGTCACATCTCCAATAACCACGGCCCAGGGAAAGGAGACTTCACAGAAACCCAATCACCAGGGTTAGATGTGCTCAGAACATTGGGAAAAGCCTGCAGACCCGCTGATGATTAAAGCTCCCAACCTGGAACAGCCCAGCTGATATCAGAGATGTGCAGCCATGCCCCTCTGCTCACCAGGATGTGCCACAATCACCACCAGCACAGAGCCAACATCTCCAAAAGAAAACACCAGGCTCAAACACAGAGAACACAGAGTGAAGGCTGAGAAGCAGCTGTGCTCCTCAGCTGAGGAACAGGAGACCAAGCACTCCTAAACAGGCTGAGGAAGGAGCACAGCGATACGGTGAGGCTGCCAGGCATCTGAAACAACCACAGAACAGAGAGCTTGGAGAAATCTTCCATGCCGACACCCCAGTTCACGCTGCTGCTCCAGCAGCTTCACTACAGACCGGTCCTCCCGCTGAATGCAGAGCCAACCTGAACCTCCAGAAGTTCTCCACAGATCTGACACCATCCATTAGTTATCACAAACAGTGAGGACAAAGGAAACAAAACACAGGAGAAGAATTAAGCCCAGCACTTCTACAACTCCCTCCTGGGGGAAAAACAGCAGGGACTGGGGGGGGGGGGGAGGAGGTCAGTGCTGATTAGAGTTACAGCTGGGTCTTATGCCTGCAAGGAAAGCCAACAGCACAGTAAAATATCCCACACATCACCACCACCTAGAGCTGTTTCATTTGCCCTATGGGAAGCTGGCACAGCTCCACCCATCCTCATTCCATCAGATCTGGCCTGAGTGCCACAGATCTGCTCATCTTCCCAGCAGAGCTGCAAAGCAGTTGGGCAGAGGGAAACAGAAGCACGGGCTTAGCAGGAGGGGGCTTTTTTGTACAGGATTTTATTGCAATATTTATTTAGGTGTAATTGGATGGTTC